GCTAAAACAGGCAATGATACACCACCTTGATTATTGTCTTTCGTTCATGTCGAGGAGGAGGAAGTTACCTTTTTTTTTTTTTTTTCCATGTTTTTTAGAGTAAATCCCGTTTTTCTGTCGTTGTTTTTTGCAATTTGTGTTTTTTTTTTTTTTTTTTTTCCTGTTCTTTATTCCGTGTTCTTCTCCAAGCACCTTTGGGCAGTTAGCGCCCGGCAGTTCGAGCCTCGGCAAGGCTCGGCATACCGGTCGGCCGAGGCTCGGACTTGATAGCTGGGCCAAGTACTGGTGGTTTAAAAAAAAAAAAAAAATAGTGGTAAATTTGGTTGTGGCACAAACAAGTTTGGAAAGGGCAGCAAAATCACACGAGGGCAACAAACTCATGCACTGAGTTTGAAAGGGTAACAAAAACGTTTTTGCCCGGGTGCCGAGTTTGAAAAGGGCAACAAAATCACACTCGGGCCACAGCTGATCTTACCGATATTGCCCTTTTCAAACTCCGCACCCGATGTTGTTGCCCACACATGTTTTTTGTGCCCTTTCGAACAGAAAGTGTGGCACTGCCGGACTTGTTTCATAAAAATATATGAAAAAAAAATTAAGAAAAAAAAAAAAAAAAAAAGAGAAGCCTTAGAAACAAACAAACAAGCCTACTCTTTTCACTGTTTCAGTGTTCGGACCTTGATTTTTTCAGAGTACGGCTCTGTTTGGCGTACGGACACGGTCTGTACAGTACAGCAAACGCGTATCGAACGGCGTACTCTACTGAACTTAGTCTAGTAGCAGCCCACAGTACTGCACAAGTAACAGTGCACAGTAGTGCATGAGTACCAGAGCAAACTTGAAACTACTGCTCTAGTAAATGTGCGCTGCACTCAAAACAGAGCTCACAGCGCTGCACGAGTAACAGTGCACAGTAGAGCACTAGTGTACCAAATTTAAGGTCTAGGTTTGAGCTCCGATACGGAGTTCAAATCGAGTGTCAGGCTTGGGTGCATGCTCTCAGGGTCAAGCTTGGGTTCATGGTCAGGATTGGGCTCGAGTGCAAGGTCAGGTTCATGCTCGAGTTCAAGGTGAGTGTCACACTCATGTTAGAGATAGGGTCTGGCATGCAAGCTCAGGGTCAGGCTTGACTTCAAGGTCATGGTCTGGCTCGGGCACAAGGGAGAAGGTCAGGCTCGGGTTCAAGTTCAGGGTCTTCCTCAGGTTCAAGGCCTGGGTCAGGCAGCTGGCGAATCAAGTTCATAGTCTGCAGACTCTTTTTATTTGTTTTCTTGTTTTCTTCAAGGATCAGATATTCAACTGATCAGACCAGACAGACAGACAGACAGACAGACAGACAGACAGAACAGACAGACAGACAGACCAGACAGACAGACCAGACAGACAGACAGACAGACAGACAGACAGACCAGACAGACAGACCAGACAGACAGACAGACAGACAGACAGACAGACAGACAGACAGGAAAACAGTTGGGTTCAAGGTGAGGGTCATGCTTATTCCAGGGACAGGGTCAGGGCCACGCTTGAATTCAAGTTGAGGGTCATGGTGAGGGTCATGCTTATTCTAGGGACAGGGTCTTGCTTGAGTTCAAGGTGAGGGTCATGATTATTCTGGGGACAGGGTCAGGCTTGAGTTCAAGGTCACGGCCTGGCTTGGGTGCAAGGTCAGGGTCAGGCTTGAGTTCAAGGTGAGGGTCATGCTTATTCTAGGGACAGGGTCAGGCTTGGGTTCAGGTTCAGGGTCTTCCTCAGACTCAAGGCCTGGCTCATGGAGAGCACAGTCCGCATACTTTTTTTTTTTTAAGGATCAGGACCATCAGGACATCCGTTCAAATTGGAAAGATACATAGAAGCTGCGTAGCATCGCGCTCGGGCTCGGTGACCGAACCCGAACGCGCGGTACCGAGCCCGAACGTGACCCAAAATAGACCGAGCCCAAACATTTTTATTTTTTAATTTTTTAATTTATTTTTTATATACATAGGGGTTGGGGGGCCCTGGGGGGCATTGCTCATGACTCCTAAACATACACACACGCACACACCATACACACGCACCCCCAGACATCCCACAAACACCCCACATACACCTCACACACCACACATACATGAGCACGCGCTCGGCAACCCTCTAATTTGAGCTTGGCCGAACATGTTCGCTTCGCGCTCGGCCGAGCGCCCGAACACGTTTGGTTGCTCGGTGAGGCGCCGAACATGTTCGGTGTGCTACACAGCATAGAAGATTAGCATGTAGGCAGAGAGGGAGAAGAGGACAACAAATGAGGGGCTGTGACAAACTGTTTCGTCGGAGTTTCACCGACTCATATATATCACAGCCCCTCGTTTGTTGTCCTCTTCTCTCTCTCTGCCTACGGTTTACCGGGCAGTTCTGTTTGTGACGATATTGAACCGACAGTCTGTAGAGTTTTCCATCTGGTGTGGGTGAGTGATAGTCTACTTTGATTTTGGTTAAGGTGGATTATCACTTACAGTGTAATCAGTGAGGGGATTCTACAGACTGTTGAGGGTTCAGCCTCCTGACGAGTCGGTGAAACTCCGACGAAACAGTTTGTCACAGCCCCTCGTTTGTTGTCCTCTTCTCCCTCTCTGCCTACGGTTTACCGGGCAGTTCTATTTGACGATATATATATTATATATCGAACTGATCAGACCAGACAGACAAACAGACAGTCGAACAGACAGACAGACATACAGACAGACATACATACATACATACATACAGACAAACAAACAGACAGACAGGCAGCCAGGCAGCCAGTCAGGGATAGGCGGAGGGGGAGGAGGCAGGAGGAAAGTGGCAATGGGGAAAAGCGGACGGGGGCGAAGGCGGGGAGGGGGAGAAGGCGGAAGGGAAAAGGGGGAGGAAAGGGGAGCAGTATGTCGGCCAATTTTCGCATCTATCGAAAATAAGATCGATAATATTATCGATCTTATTTTCGCTGGAGGCAAAAATGGACCTGGGCCGGCGACCAGCAGGCGAAGGCGGGCCCAGTCCAAGGGTTTTCAAGCGCGGCGCCAACTTCGGCGATTTTTCACGCTGAAAAGAATTGACGAAAAAATCTTCATTGAGATCCTGTAGATTAGTTTGTGATCTTTTCAGGAAAGATATCCAAAAAAAAAATAAAAAAAATTAGACCGTGAAATAAATGCCGCACCATTTCATCTCATTTTCCATTTTTGTCACTGTAGTGGGCCAATGGGAAAAGTACCTCCACTTCCCTGATTTGTTGCACTCAGAAAGATGACTCAACAACCCTGAAAATTTGACGGTCTGTAGATTTTGTTGTGATCTTTATAGGAAAAATATTTAGAAAAAAACTCAAAAATCATTTTAACCATGAAATAAATCGCGGGGACCATTCGACACATTTTCCAATTTTGCCACTCCGCCAGTTTTCCCCACTGTGCTACCCGTATCCCTCATGGACCTGTGCTACCGGTCCCCCCTAATTTATGACGGCGGGGGTCGTGGTGGCTTAAGAACTTCGGAAACAGAGACCCAAGTTTGATTCCACTCCCGAAGAGCTTTGGAAGCAGAGACCCGAGTTCGAATCCGCTCCCAAGTTCGCATCTAGAAGCGAATATGTTTTCGAAAACGATAGTCACTACACAGATTTAAGCTTGTTTCAAAAAAAAAAAGAAAAAAAACATAGAAAATTGCTCGTGGAAGCAAACAACGACAAATGCAGAAGGGGGGCTCGGGGAGCGGCGGAAAGACCCAGTTATTTTAAGAATCATCAGGCGCCCTTGAAGAAGGGTGAAGAGGCTCTTTCAGTAGTACTCAGTCAATCTCCTGGCCCAGGGACAACCCAGGGCAATCAATGCTGGCGGTGACTCTCGCACTCTTTCATGATTGCCCTGTCTTGTTGTATCGTAAAGGACACTGAACCCGATTTCCAGCAGGTGATGCTCCCCAGCAATAGACCGGAGCCAACCGCAGGTGTTGCTAGGGGTGTCTGCTCATACCAGCACCCTTAGAAAACCCGGGCTAAGAAGGAAAAAAAAAAAAGGGCTTGACAAGGGAGGGATCTCAGGAAAGGATGCCACATCCAGAAGCCTAGCTCAGATGGTAAGGCTCGCAAGTGGCATTCAGGAGGTCTTGGGTTCAATCCCTATTGGCCTCATGTAGCTTCCTGGGCAAGCTGGGTGCCCACCACCTAGAGATAGGCCGTTGGTCTCCCCGAGCGGCATTAAGCAGAGAGACTGCTGATGTTGATAAGAGGAGGGGACCGAAGGGGAGGTACAGCAACTGGCCCATGATGGAAGAAGAAGCTCAGTCTTGATGCTACCGGCTGACCCCTGGCCAGTGTCGCCCACCTGCAGGTTGGGTGCAGCCCCCTCGTCTTCGAATCCCTCGTTGGAGGCTTGAGCTTGGGTTGGCTGCTACAGGGCTCCCTGTATTGGCCTGTAATATTATGATAATGATAATAAACAGGCCTGAAAGACCTTCCTGTCCAGATTTTACATGTAATTGAATTGGTTCATTATTAAAAAAAAAACGATCTTTTATTTGTATTTTTTTATTTTTTTTTGGCCCGGACGGGCAAGTGGTCCCGGGCCACTCTGGTAGCCTAGACTGGTTACACACACACACAAAAAAAAAAAGGATGCCACATCAGTGATCGTGAGAGAAAAGAGACGAGTGAAACTTTTTTTTTTTTTTTTTTGAGAGTAAAACCAGTGGCTGTTACTCATCAAGCTGTGTTTTTCATTTTCTCTTCATCATGGAGAAACGTTTGCTGAGGTCCGCTGCGATGTCTGTCACGTGTTTGGCATACTGGTGTCCTGCCAGGTCAACAGCAGTCCATAGCCAGGCTGCGTGTTTTCGACGTCGTCACGTTGGAGCTTCAAGATCGAGATACTAGCTCAAGAAAACAACTGCTTGTTAAACTTTTGGTTTTCTCGCACGCAATATAATATTATATGTCAAAGGTTCTTCTCACACGCGGTGCCTACGAGTAATGCCGAGTGTTTGATTAAGAGAATTTAAAACATCCACAAGCCTCACAAGGTCCAGTCTGAGACCTGCTTTATGGTTTTTTGATCAATGTCTCACATGTTCGAGGGTACATCAGTTGTGACAGGGAAGGCTGTGATGCCGAACTCAGCAGCTTATGACGGATCGGCGCAGCCGCTAATACCCGGAAAAGAGGTGTATCATGATGACTGTGAAAGGGAAGAGGTGCGACTGAACGTTCCAGAGAATGACGATGAGCTTTATTTCCAGGTCGATGATGACAAGTCCGATGTGGACACAGATATCCACCTCCTTCCAGACATCGATTCCCCCACTCACAGGCGATTCAGCCGCGTGATGTCGCTGCCGACGGTTTTAACGCACACCAGATCTGGAAGACAGCGAGATTATAGAGAAGGGAGTGGGGAGTTGGAAAAGAACCATCGCTCGTCAGTCCATCAAATCCGTACGGGCTTGCGAATTCTGCATCTGGACGATTCTCGAATATCATGGGCGTTTCTGTCGTGGACTGTGGGGCTGTTGATGATCGTGGTCATACCGTCTCTAAGGTTTATATTCGTTCATCCTTTGGATGACAAGGATCCTTCCACCTCTCCCCTCCCATTCCGATTGGTCATCTTCATACTTGAGTTCTTGCTATCCGCCGTCTCATTTGTTTGCTTCCATAGGATGCTTCGTAAGCACGGATTACAGGGAGTCCTGTTCCTTGATGCTGTGCACGACGAACCATATGAGTTACGCCAAGCATATGAAAAGAGCCTGCGGTCGGTGATGCGACTGTTATTCAAGTTCACGTGCCCAGCATTTGTCTTGCACGTGATTCAGAAGGCGCTGATGTACGCTTATGTTCCTCTGGCCCCTTTCCCAATCACAACTGGTCATTGGAGGGTGGACTTGGGCGTGGTATTCGTCACCACGTCATTGGCATGGCTGTTCCAGACGACGACGTTCCTTTTCGTATGCGTCATCTTTTGGAAAATCTGCTCACTTCAGGTTTTTAAAATGAGGCATTACAGTTTCCAGCTGCAGAAGTACGACGATTCCTCTAAGTTGTTCTTCGCGTACTCGCGGATAATCCGAGGACTGGGTATCATCAGCCATCGGTTTCGAGGCTTCCTGTCACTCTCTGGGACGATCATCGTTCTCGGGTCCTTGGCTTCAATGTACACGGTCGTTCAAGCACGGAAGGGCAACTTAACGTTCGTCAGCACTGGCGAGCTTGCAGTCTGCAACTGTCTGTACTTGATGGGGGGAGGTCTTTGCTTGAGGTCTGCTTCACGAATCGCTCATCAGCACCGCCGGATTGTGAAACAGGCTTGCACCATGCATGCCATAAGCTCATATGGATGTGGACATGTCAGCCCTTGCTCGACACCACCAGCATCTGTTCCAGCGAAGGCAGCTTCACCCAGACCCGCTCATTTCACAGCGGTACAGGATGCAACTCTGGCACGCATTGAGTCGGCATGTGAGCGGCAGGAGGAATGGTGTCAGCGGGCAGCTCTTGTCGGGTTTTTGTCACAGACGACAGCAGGCATATCTATTTATGGTTTCGTACTTGATCGTGCTTTTGTCCATACTAGCTTCGGAGCCCTCTGTACAACGACATGGTTCATCCTCGGCCGCTCTCTGGGGGCATAGCTCTGTGTTCCATAGCGTACTAAACCACCAGACTGAGTAGAACCTCTCCCGTACATCGTCACGGGACTCACGGGCGGTTTCAGAGGCCCCAGCCTTTGGTTGGAGAAATTGGGCCTCGCTGCACTACTCTTGAAATGCTTAAAAGACAAAAATCATGGCGGTGCATCTTTCCATATTCTTGCGGAAGATTCACTCTCGTTTTGCACATTTCAAGAGTAGTGCAGCGAGGCCCATTGTGTGTGCATACCCTACTCGGTAAAAAGTCGTGGCCGGCGCAGGTCGATAAAGCTCATCAATGGCCATTAATTTATAGCTATGTGTTCCGTAGCATGTATCGGGTGCGGGCGGTTTCCGAGGCCCCATGCTTGTGGAGAGATTGCTCATAACCTACTCCGAAAATGTCATGGCCGGCGTGCCGTCGATAACATCATCCATGGCCAGCCATGCGGTGAGGGGCCTGTGGCCAACGTATGGCCGTGTTTCTGAATGTATCTAACGGCAACCACTCCGGAGTCTGGACCTGGATGCACCTGGAAGCGATCACGACCAGAGTTGAGTCGAAAAAGTCCTGGTGTGAGTACGACCTAACTCTAGTTAAATTACTTTCTATCCGATTTCTGACAAACCAACATCATGAAATTCATCTCTTTTCACATTTCATAGGTCTGTTGGAGCTCTCCTCCACAGAAAAAAAAAAGGAAATACAAGCTGCAACGGAAGTGAAAATAAAGAGAGAAAAAAGGTGAGCTAGGAATTGCCTAACTGCTTTGAATTGAGGTGACGTGGACTGCTGCTCCCCACCAATAGATCGGAGCCACCTGGAGGAATAGCTAGGGGTACATGCTCTTATCATTACCCCTAGCTGGACCTTCAGGATGTGAAAAAAAAAAAAAAAAAAAAAAAAAAGAGGACATGGAGTGGCAGTGGGGTGATTGGAATTTAAGGTTGTCCGAGAAATATGGACAATGGACATCCTAGGTAGGTCTTCTACAGTAGGACCTGTTGTAAAGGGTAATTTAAAAGTTAATTAGATGTAATCAGCTGTTCATTTGTTTTTAAATTAATACTTTTTATTCTTTGTGTCTAAAAGAGTTCACTGCGCTTGTCCTACGAGGAGGTTGTTAAGTGTTGAAACGGAAGTCCAGAGCTGCTGGTCTTGCCAAATTAATGGGGTGTTCGAAATTTGTGGAGGGGTCCAAATTGTGAGTTTGTCAGGGTAAGAGGATATAAATCGCCTCGTGGCTCTGCGCCTTGTGACAACCCATTTTGTTCTTTTTTTTTTTTTTTTTTTTTTTTTTTTTTTTTTTTTTTTTTTTTTTCGCTCGGACTCCTTCTTTTCACGTGAGAGAGAGTTATAGAGAATGTAGATAGATAGATAGATAGATAGGTAGATAGATAGATAGGTAGGTAGGTAGATAGGTAGATAGGTAGATAGAGAATGATCTGACCGTGTGAGCAGCGAGTATCATCTGTGCCACCATGAGTTGGCTCTTGGCTGACTACCTCTGAAGAATGCAATGAAGCTAAAATTTTCCACTTGGCAGTGGGTTCGGTTTTCTTCCGGACAAGTAGCAGGTTGGCAGCTCGAGTCCATCAACTCTCAATTTGTCGGGTGGGGCCCCAAGCCAGCTGATCCCGGCACTCCTCTGCCCTTTTGTGTTGTGCAGTGTCATTCACAGGCCCTGGGATTCTTATTAATATGGAGTTCTTTCCCCTCACCAATCTTAATCACTCTTTCCTCAACGGGTTGAGTTCTCTTCCCAACAAGTAGAGCGCGGGTTGATAGGTCAAGTCCACCAACCTGCAATTTGTCGGGCGGGGATCCCAGTCTGCTGACTCCAAAAGACTCCTTCCCTTTTGCGTTGTGCACAACTTTGGAAAGTCACTCGCCATAATTTCTTTGAAGACATCTGCGAATTGTTCGTTCCGGACTTACAGTGTGCAGAACTGTAGAATGTCATTGCCAGAATTCCAGAGGAGTGGTTTCCAATCGCCTCTCTTAATCACTTAATATTCCTCATTCGCGCTCAACAAGGGATATTAATTGGTAGAAAGCGCCCACGCCAAAACCTTTTTGGTTTTGGGCGCCCGAAACTCGGCCGTTTGGTACTACTGGCCCAATGACTTCAATGTGGGGTATTAGAGGCCCACGCGTCGCTCCAAGGGCCCTACCGGATCATGAATCTGGCGCATAACAGGACCAGATTCATTTTCATGTAAAAGAGGCCGAGGGTAGTACCGCTGAAGGATAGAATGAGGCCCAGGTACGGTATTTTGAAAAAGAAGGGCCAAAACTCTTGAACCCGTAAAAACAGGCCCAGGGAGATGTGGCCACGGCGCAAAGGCCCTTTCACCCAGGCTGAAGACGGTTTGGGCGGTTCACCCAGGCTGTAGACGGTTTGGGCGGGTAGTACCAAACGGCCGAGTTTTGGGCGGCCAGCCAAAACCGAAAAGGTTTTGGCGTGGGCTCTTTCTACCAATTATCCGAAAAGGGAGCTGTCACCTGCTGAAGAGGTAAGAGGGATGGATGTTAGATGCCCGACAAGTAGCAGGTTGCTGGGTTGAGTCCGTTGGCTCGCAATTTGTCAGATTGCATGTAACCGCCTGCTGATCCCGCTAGGCCCTTGCCCTTTTATGTGGTGCAGAATTTTATAATGCCACTCCGAGTCGCCAGAATTCCTTCGGAGACAGCATCTGCGAATCTATTCCTGCGGACGGGTTTCACATCATCCCTCTCAATAATCACTACCGTAGTTCATCAGTTGCTGTCAGCAAGGGTGTTGGCGAAGTGGTTAGCGGGCCGGCATTTTGCGTCATCCCTCTTAATAATCGCTCATTCTTCATCTGCAAATATAAAATAAAATACGAGTTGTCGAGCGGCTGTTTTGGCTTTCCTGGTGGAAATTTCCCTGCTCTTGCGCTTCATGACACGCTTCCTTTCAAGTTAGCACTCCAAAGTTCGGGAGCCACCTTTAAATTGTTTCCATAATGAAGGTTGGGAGAGAGAGGGCGTGAGGTGATTTTAGGGGTGCTGGGGGAAGGTGGGGGGTGTTGTACGACTTTCTTCTTAAAAGGGTTCTGACATTTGTTTCCACCAATATATTTCGCAGCTATGGTTCGCCTTTCATCGGCGAGGGTGGATGTGGGTTGGTGAGCGGGCTGGGTGTTCTTCCCGACAAAAAGAAGGTTGACGGGTCGAGTATATCAACTCGTAATTTGTCGAGCGCGGTCCCCAACCCGTTGATCCCTCCAGACCGCTGCCCTTGTCTGTTGTGTTATGACATTTCTCGTTTTCCTCGGCAAGGGTGTTGGTGAAGAGGTCAGCGGGCTGGGCGTTCCACCCGGGAAGTAGCGGGTTGATGGGTCGAGTTCGCCAACCCGCATTTTATCTAGCAGGGCCCCCAGCCCGCTGCCCCTGTCACACCCCTGCCCTTCTGTCTTGTGTAAAACATGAGAAACTTTCTTTTTTTTTTTTTTTTTTTTTTTTTTTTTTTTGGAAAGCTTGTCATATATTGCCAAAATATAATTGGAATCGAGGCCGGGGATCTCACAATTCTACCCGGAGTTATCCTGGCAGCCTCAGCCAGTTTCGCTTATAAGGAAAGTTCTACAGACAAACCATCTGCTTCTATCCCACCGGGTCCAGTGTCCCCTCCTAGACCAAATACTTTCCAACATCAAAACTTCGAAGCTCAGGTAAAAGGTTGCTCAACTTGAGCATTGCTGAAAACCAGCATTCCATCTTAAAACGCTCCTTCTATCAGCTGGAAACTGGAAACCGGGTCCAGCGTCCCACCAAAAATGCTTCCCAAAAGTAACCATGGAAGCACCGAGTAAAACCGCATTCCTTACTGTCAAACACCAACTTTCCAGAGCTAGCCAGGCGAAGCACAGAGAAAAACAACCTCGGTCTCCAGTGCCTTGGGCTTTCTAGAGATTGGAGGAACAACTACTGATACTTCTGGAAACCGAGTCCGGCGTCCCTAAAGATTTTCCTTCCTCCCAAGCTGTCTTCCTGTCCGCAACCTTTCAAAGATAATTCTTTCAAGGACACATGCAGACAGACAGACCACTTGTACAGCCTACTTACTTTCTTACTGTAGCTTCCCAACCAGGTCTATCACGACCTTGTCACCTCCACCCATGATACAGCAGGGGGCCCGGGGTCTACAACGACCCTACCATTCCAAGGCTGCACCCATCTGCCGGACCCTATCTCAGCCAGGGGGCCGTCTCCATTTTTCCTTCATCCGCAATTTTAGCAATGTTGCCCTTTCTCCAGGTTTTCCCAAACCAATACAGGCTCTTTCTTTTCCAATCCGCGTAGACCGCTAGCCTGATGCCAGCCTTAATTTGTTGTCTTGACTGCTGAAACGAGATTACCTCATTCTTAAATATTTTGGCATTCCTTTCTGCCCAGATTACTTCCATGATAATTCCCCTGCAGCAGAGCACTACATAATTCTCACCTGATGTCTCTCCTGCCTTTTTTGGGAGTTTCCCCAACAGGTTAAAATCATCCTCCCACTCAAAATCCGCCTGTGTCATTTTCCAGAACTCTTTCCACCACTCCCAAATCCTGTCAGACAGTGGGCAGTATAACCACACATGAGCAGCATTCTCCCAGCCCCAGTTGCAGCGAGCACAGGTCGAGGGGAGATTCATTCCTTTAGTATTTAGCCACATAGCTGAGGGAACGATTTGTATGGATGGCAGGCATTGAATTGCGGCCTGCCTTTGTGATGGTATTTCTTTGAGTATCTTCCACAGCCTGTGCAGGTCCGATTCCCCCACAATTGTGATTTCACTGATTTGTAGGGACTCCAGTCTCTTTCTGGCTACAACTATTGGCTTTCTCGCCACTTTGGCCCGCTGGATAGTGGTGCCTATTTTAGATTTGTATAAACATACAGGAACCTCCTCTCCCAACATTGCCCCGGACCAACCAAACAGGCCGGGCTCAACTCTCAGGTTCTCCCGCTGGTCCATTAAGATCTGGAACACCGAACCCTTTCCTTTCTGTACTTCGTGGATTCTCACTTCCTTCAGGTCTGCCGTACAGGCCACTACTGCTTCATCTTTCAGTCTCAATGTCCTCTGCCGACAAGCTGGCTTTCTCGACCATTTTTGAACTTCCGTTCCTGTCGGAAGATCCGGCCCCAGATTTTTCCAGAATCGGTCTGCACAGTCAGGCTCCTGCACCCAGCTTTCTGCAGCTGCTGAGCTGCTTCTCTATCGTTTTTCAATGTCCTTACCCAATGTGGGGGTATTGCAGCTCTGATGCTCTGATGATGTCCAAGT